GTAGGTTTTTGCATCTGTCACAGAATCTAGAACCATATCTTGCGTATAGAGGATATTCAACACCTGCCTATTGCATGAGCACATCTGTGAGGACCCATCTTACCAAAGCAAAAGAGGGAAAAGGCACTTTAGAGAACAGAAATCTACTCACACCCTGTTTGGTCCCCAGAAGTCTCATGATGGAAGGGAACATTTTCCTCATTTGCACCCATTCATCCACCCTCTGTGAGATGGAGTCTATGTTTCACAAATGGACCTCTCCTGATCTTAAGCTATGTGCCCTTGTAAGTAGTAGCATTCAGTATTTTAAAAACTCATCAGGTCCCATCAAAGCTGCAAATATATCTCTGATGACGTTCTCATACTTCATCACGTGTCAATATCCCTAAACAATGAAAGCACAACCTTCTACCTTTTCAGCAAATTTAAAAATTTGTTCAAACACCCCCCCTAAGTTCTCAACAAGGGAATCTAGAATCTACATCATGGTTAAAATATGTGGACATGCCAGTCATTTAGACTTCCATGTGAATGGGTAGGGAGTGAATAGGCATCATTGCCATCACCAGTACATTACGTGGTGGCTTGTAAGCCAGCAAGGTGATTCAGATGCTGTAGAAAGGGGTTCACTATCAGATCAGAGGCCACAGTGAACTAGGGTGAGTAATTCTGAATGACACAATCAGGAACCATGAACCCAGTTATGTTGTCGGCAGAGTACCAGAGATAATGAAGATGATGACAAAGAAAAAGATAACGGTGATGGTGACGCAGATAAAAGAGCAGCTCCAAGTTAGGGCAGAAGCTCTCCACCACCTTGCAGGTTCTCTTCCAGCAATGAAAACAGAAACATGTACAACCTGCCTGGTAATACCAGATTAAACAAATCTACCTGCAAAATCAGCAATGAAATACTAAGTTTCAAGAAGTCTACACTCTCTTTTTATGAGCCTCTGCCAAACAACTGGGGAGCTCTTGGTCCCACCCTGTGTACCTCCCTTCTCGTGTTTGGAGTCATCAAAATGAGAGTAATGGGCAAAAAAATTAGACACCCACTATGCAACCACCCCTCTGTGGGGCCCGGATAACCTTCCCTCCAGCTACAGGAACCAGTTCTCGTGCAACAATTCTCAGACTGAAAGCTCAGGGTGAGGTGTATTTCTTTTATTCTTTTTTTATGCTAACACCCTGATATTGGTCAAAAATAGTCAAAGAAATCATCATAAAAGAGATACAAATACCTTAATGCAGCTTTAAAAAGCCAGAGACCCCTTTCAGTCAGTCACAAATAGCCAGATGTCATTTTTCCAGATGTTCAGCTAAACTACTGAGAAGTTCCAGCCACTGTGAACTTCCATAAAGAATTCTTGAAGCAAAAGGCAAACAAAAAATTTAACCAAGATGAAAAGGAGAAAAAGATTTTATCCCTTGCAATGGCCTACTATGACATAACTGTGCTTTGAAGGAGTGCCCATTCTCTGGTTTTTAGGCAAGAACGTCTGAAATAAATTATGTATCCTCATCAATGGCTACACGAGTTAATAAAGAGCTATTGTCTTACAGATGGTAAACCACAAACGGAATTTTCTTCTAGGATGTTGGTGGCATAAAAATTTTCATTTTGTAAATGTCAGCACACTGCATGCAGGAAATACTTGGAGGAAGATATTCACACAAGATAAAAGCCAAATGGCACTCACATGGCATTTCTCCACTCATGAAAAAAGAGTAAAGGCATTAAAAGGAAGGAGGGTCTAGTATTAAAGAAGGAGTAGGGGCATGAGATTCCCCTCCCCGCTCAAAGGAAATGTTTGAATGTGAGGGTTTCTGAGTTACGATCACAGATTCATTTCCATTTCTAATTCATCTATGGCAATGACTCATTCTATTTCCTGGAATTGATATATTGATATTAAACTTTACAGCTCTTGCTGTAAAAGTTCTTGCTAAATGGTTGCCTTTAAAAATGAGTGTGTTGTCTGGGACATGGCTGTAGAGTAAAACAAATTCTTAAGCAAGACTTGTACTTTTGAAATGTTCATCAAATTTACCTAAAATGGCAAAACAAGCACATGCAGTCAATTTTTTAAGAGTCAGAACAAAGGCACAGTGTGTTGAAAGTCACATAAACATAGCAGTCAGTGGATCCCTTGCCATTTTCATTATTCCTCTTTTCAACCTCACTTTCTCAAGCCCAGCACCCAGCAACACTTGATGGTAAGAAGTAGATTACCTCTTTCTGTTTACAAATACCTCAAGGGAGTCATTTGCTGAAGTAAATATCAAGTTTTTAATTACTTTGCTTTGCTGATTACTTCTTTTAAAAAATTAAACGCCAGTTATTTTCCTGCCTTCTGTGCCTCTCTCCAAAAAAACAAGAGCTAGGGGAAATCAATTATGTCCAAACTGGCCATCTTGACATTCATTTGCTAAAGTCTGGGGGGAAACGAAAAAGAATGCTTCTTTGGAAAAATAAGTACATTGCCCTGATTTTTGTCATCATACTAGATAATTAGCTCACTGAAGAATAACCCATATGGGCTGGAAAACACAACCAATGCTGTGCACACTTCTATCACCATTCCCAAATCGTATCCCTCTTAAGGGCCTGCAAGTCCAAGCTGGACTGATATTCCAAAGTTCGACGAAGTCTTTTCTGTAGATCTCGGTTGCACAATTTTCCAAGAAAACCTGTGACTTTAGCAAAGCACTTGTCTAAGCTAAGATTTCCTCATTCTTCCAAAATCATACTTCTGTACTTTAGCCATAAAGGTCTTTCTACAGAGTCATTTAAATCATAAAGAATCAGCTTAGGCATAACCCCAAGAGAACAGGTATTTTAAGCTATACTGTGAGCAAATAAGTTAGAGTTGTTAAATTACTGGAAAAAAAGAACTATTCTTTGTACACACGCACACACATACATCTCAACACAGATGGAACAATCATTTCTCGGTCCTAGGGAGGACAATTGCCCACTGATCAAAGAATTTCCTTATTTCTTACTGGAAAGTGAATACTAAGAGAGAAACAAGAAGCACACGGAAGGCTTGGCACAATTTTATTAGAACAGATCACACATTTTTGTATATTGTAAATATTTTCTTTCTTCCTCATAAATTTTCTTACTGGAAGAGGCATTGCAGCAATGCCCTCTCCACCTCCACCCTCCCCTTCATCACATAGTCACTCAGCATCAAATCCCAAAGTGATCGGGAAAGTGAGTTGGCGTTTGAACAGTAAATGCATCTCAAAGTAGAAAGCAAATACTCCGTGTGTGTGGATTCTCCGACCACTTTTTAAGCTATTCTCCTTTTAAAAAAATATTCTAAAGAAAAAATACAATGCTTTGGGTCTTACCAAAAGATCTTCAAAAGAGAGTGAAAAAATCGATGACAGAAAAGTGTCCACAAAGCACATCAGCAAAGCATGTTTTATACAATTACCAAGTTTTAAACAGTTTTCAGTCAGGGTGAGGCTTCCCTTTACTGTCGAATAAATCAAGGTATTTTAAATATTCTTTAAAATGAATTTTGAAGATCCCTTAAACATAAAGTTTAAAAACCATTTAAAAATAAATTTTAAAGATTCTGTTAGAATATATTTGGTAGTTCTAATTTCTTGGTACCAGATCAGGAAAGGTAACCTCATCACCAACTCATGTTTTTCATTATATCAATACCTTTTATAAATATGCACAATTTGTGCTCATGGGTACATCAGATCACAAAATAGATGGGTGTATATGTAATTATTATACATCTACAGGTTGGAAAATTATATTCCTTGGAGTACATGCACAAAACATTTAAGAATGACAATAGCAAATAATGCAGTTTCTGTACTACCAAAATAAATAAGAAAGATAATTGAAGTTACTGGTTTTTCAATGTATCTTTCAGAGAAAAATAACTGCACTTATTTAAACATGCTCATTGGCATATCAGTCCAATTTCTGAGCCATGTGGGACCCTTTTCTAACTCTGAGAAAAAGTTGAACAAACATTTTACTCTAGTCTACCAAAGTAATGAGCTCTTTCTATTAGGGACTACAATTTTCTGAAGATGACTTAACCCTGGATTTACCTGAGTCCATACATAAAATTACAAACCACTCCACGTTAGGTGGAATAGCTTGCGGACTTGGGGATCAGATTCATGTGATTCAGATGCTGCCTCCAGAAAGGTCACCTATATAGTCTTGGGCAAATTACTTGTCATGCCTACCCCTCGGTCTCTTCATCTGAAATGGGGTTAACTGTAATATACCTACCTTCTAGTTGTGAGAACTGAGAGCTATTCAGAACAAGTGCTCTATAAGTGTGAGGTATATTATCCTCCTTCTCATCATCATAAGGAACTTAAAGAATTTTAATCTAAGAAAACAGATTTCAGCCAATTGTAAAAGAAAACTAACTTATTAATGTTGGTTTCGTACCATCTTCCACAGTGACTCCAGGATTTATCTTGGCATTCATTCAATTCAGGTGGACAGAGCGATTAAACCAAGTTTTATCTCGCTAGCCAAGCACTGACTGAGCAAAGCACTTCACATGGATTATCTCATTTTACCCTCACAGTGGCCTTGATATGAGGTGTGCTATCATTCCTATTTTACAGTTAAGGAAACTGAGATTTAGAGAGTTTAAGTAGCAACCTAAGCTTAGCTAGTAAGAATTAGATCGGTGATAGGAACCCGGATAGCCTAAATTCAGAGTTTTCAGAACCAACCTATTTATAGCAGTTTTCTTAAGAACACAACTCTACCGACTATGACACTACCGACTAATAACTAAATCTTATTTATTTCCAGAGGACTTTTGTTAAAGTACTATGCTGCAGTCTGAGAGTCAGTGAGTTTCAAAGTAACAACTTGCCATATTAAAGCAGGACTATACTTCCAACATCCAAATTTCACAGGTTGTTTGAAATTTAAAATAAACCTGATAGCCAGTCCTCAAAATACAATGTAGAGGAGAAAAGGAATTAAAGTTATTTACCTGTTACTTGAATTGAGGGGAGTAAGTTGAGAGCCAGGAGCAGCCTGAGCAACATTGTCCCGATGGTGGTCTAGGCCTCCAGCCCCTCCTCCTGAAGAACTCCAAGTGTGAGGGAAACTGAAGATGCACCTGCCAGGGCTTGAGCGTCTCCGTCACCCACGGCCACAACCACCATCCTCTCAGAGCACATGATCAAGGGACTCAAACCACAAAGCATCATGACTGCAACATTTCACACAGGATATAACATTGTTTTGATGACTTTAGACTTTTAGTTCTTTTAAAGACAAGACCTTGTATGGCACTAAAAAATAGTTGGTCACTTCATAATGGGCTCATTAGAATCATTCTCTATTGATGGATGTCGAAGTTGTGGAAAAAGGCTAGTTGAAATCCAGCTGAGACTTAAGAGGAGACAAAGTGATCTAAAGAAGGATTAAACCCATTTGCAGAGGAGAGATTTTCACAGAATGGGGATAGACGGTGCCAAAAAGACAACAGTAAGAATTATAGTGAGGAGTTGGGGAATGTCTGCACACGTGATTAAAGGAGTTAGATTTAGATCTTAGGAATTCGATGTTTGTGTTGGACATCATATGGTAGTCCTCCAGGGCATTTAGCACACAGCGCTCGCTTTACGCCAAGCATCCCCCAGTTTAGTTCTAGAAACTTTGCAAAACACATCCCACTTGCAAGCACTCTGCCTGGTGAGTATGTAAAGAAGGTTCCCTAAACCAAAGGAAAGTCAAACAAAAAAAGCATTGTATGTTCTTGCGGGGGAGGTAAGGCGACCAAAAGCCCCTTGGTTCTCATGCTTTCTATGTCCCTCAAGGTTAAGTAGTAGGGTACAAAAGAGGTGCCACAAGATCTTCAAGACTTACAACACCGTTCTGCACTCTTCTCCTACCCAGGCCTTCTGTAGCTAGGACCATTCCACTAGCAGGGCCAATTCCACCCTCCATCCTGGTACCTGGGTCAGTGTCTTATACTCAGTGACTTTCTCAAAACTTTTCTAGTATTTTTTTTTCTTCTTTCCTGATAACCTAAATGCTATATAATTACTTCGGTTTGGGTGTTTGAATATGTGGGTTTTTTAAAAGATAACTTGCACCACTTCTTATTCTGATGATAAAAGTAAGATATATTTCATATGGGAAATTATAAAAATTACGAGCCAGGCACAGTGGCTCACACCTGTAATCCTAACACTTTGGGAGGCCAAGGCGGGAGGATCACTTAAGCCCAGGAGTTCGAGACCAGCCTGGGCAACACAGTGAGATCTTGTCCCAACAAAAGTAATCAAAAGACCGGGCTCGGTGGCTCAGCCTGTAATCTCGCACCTCGGGAGGCCGAGGTGAGTGAATTGCCTGAGCCCGTGGGTTCGAGACCCACCTGGGCAACTTGGCAAGACCTCATCCCTACAATAAATCAAAAAAATTAGCCGGGCGTGGTAGCGCATGCCTGTAGTTCCAGCTACTTGGAAGACTGAGGGGGAAGGATCACCGGAGCCCAGCAGGTCGAGGCTGCAGTGGCCAGGAGCAGCCACTGCACTCCAGTCTGGGTGACAGAGTGAGACTCTAACTCAAAAAAAAAAAGAAAAAAGAAAAAAAAAGTAATCAAAAAATTAGCTGGGCATGCTGGCACAGCCCTGTAGTCCCAGCTACTTGGGAGGCTGAGGAGGGAGAATCACCTGAGCCCAGGAGGTTGAGGCTGCAGTGAACTATGATCACACCACTGCACTCCAGTCTGTGTGACAGAGTGTGACCCCTGACTCAAAAAAGAAAAGAAAATTTAGAAAAATTATGAACATTAAAACAATATTCATCCCTAATCTTCTACTTTGATATAAACACTGTTAAATTCTAGTTCATTACCTTGCATCTGTTTGTCTCTTAAGATTTTTACACATTTAATATCATGTTTTACTTAAAGTTTTCAAAAGGTATATACTGTTATATCTTTGACATTTTTTCATATCACTTAAACTTCATAAACGTCATTTGTAATTGATGCACAATATTCTATCCTATAATCATATAAATGGTTTAACAAACCCCTAGTGTTGTTACCTTTTATTTTTTTCTTTGCTATTTTAAAATACTACAGTGAACATCTTTAAGACAGAGCAGAGACATGTCCCTCCCTCCTGATCTGATCCACATTTCCATGTTTTCACAAGCAGTCTTTGTGAACCTTCCTTACCAACACATACTTCTGCCCTTTTAAGTAGTTTATCCTTGGGCATTACTCGCTCACACTTCTCAACCATAGGTAAGTGACAAAGTTATGACCCGTCCTGGAGAAGACTCACTTCTAGAATTTGACTCAGACTTCATGGCTCTGACCCTCTCTCCAGTTACAGTAACCTATATGTTACCCAAGGCCTGTTGTCTATCTGGGGACAATTAAAAGATGGCAGAATGACCTTTCCCAAAAGGTCATCTCTATTCTAGAGCCACCAGGCTACCCAGATCTAGAACAAGAGACTCTGAGACTAAAATAACACAACCCAAGAACATGGATAATAGAAACAAAGTAGATTCTCCACTGTTTCCTATGATCAATAACAAAAGGCTAAGGTGAGAATTATCAGTTGTCTTTGAGCATATGAAAGATGACTGTGTAGCATTTAGTTAATAAATGCAAATGGTAGTACAGAACTGAGTCAAACTTAGCTGGAAAAGAAACAGTGCCTGTATTTTTATTTATATGAACTGTTCAATAGGCAAGTCCAAGGAGATAGAAAATAGACTGGTAGTTGCCAGAGGGTAGGAGTAGGGTGAAATGGGAGTGACTGCTAATGGGTAAAGCGTTTCTTTTGGGAATGATGATGTGTTGTGGAATTAGGTAGCTGAACTGTACATTTAAGAGAGTGAAATGTTTGGCATGTAGATTACATCTCAATAAAGTCGTTATAAAAAAGGTTCATTAATAAATAAAATTAGACTAATAATTATTTTCAAAGAAGTAGAAAGAAACAGTTACTTATCTGATCTAACTGCTTTATCTTGCTGAGAAGTAAGCTTGAAACCCAGGGAGGCAAATTCACAAAAAAATAATTAAGTGTACTTGACCAATTCTATTTCGTTCTTTCTTCTTCTTTCTTTCTTTTTGAGTTGAGGTCTCACTCTGTCACACAGGCTGGAAGTACAGTGGTGCCATCATAGCTCACACAACCTTGATCTCCTGGGCCCAAGCGATTTTTCTACCTCAGCCTCCCGAATAGCTGGTGCTTACCACCATGCCTGGCTAATTTTTTTTTTTTTTTTTTAGAAACGAAGTCTCACTATGTTGTCTAGGCTGGTCTTAAACTCCTGGGTTCAAGTAATCCTCAGCCTCCCAAAGTGCTGGGATTACAGGTGTAAGCCACTGAAGCTGGCCTTATGTGGTTTTCATTCTAAAAATATAAAGAAACACAAACTTTTATATTTCGCTTCCTTTTTTTTTAACATGTATCATACCAAAGGACCAAATCATAACATTAGAGTATTTTCACATTTACTCTTGAAAGTCAATGGCACTCACATATACTAAGAGGTAGAAATGACAGAAGTAAAATAAAGTCCTTAAATCCATCAATGCACAGAATACAGAGACCCTACTATATTTTCAGTAATTATAATTACATTTACATACCAAGAACTTTACATTTCAGATCTGATTTAATACACAGCCTATGAAGAAAAGTATTACTAACCCCATTTTACAGATGAGAAAACGGGTCTGAGTGAGGGTTAAGTTGGTTTTTAAACCACCAGTATAGGATGTAATTGACTTCAAGAATTAAGGATTACCTAGAACCATCAGAGTTACAGCTGGAAATAACTCTGGCAGGTATATACAACAAAAATCTTCATTTAGTTTGTCAGCTAGTTTGAATAATGATATTGAAAATTAGAGTCAGGCAACCTGGGTTATCATCCTGGTTCTGATACTGGCTTGTTTTCTAAACTTGAGTAGTTCGCCTAATCCCTTTCTGTTTTATTTTACTCATATTTAAAATGGGGATAATATGATTACCTAAAGTAATTTAGTTGTGTGGTTCGAAAATTAAATACTTTAAAAGTGGAAACAAAATTCATTTTAATTGTTAATTTATACTAAATTAATAGAGTCCATGATTAAATTGTTGTTGTTATTTTTGAGTTAGGGCCTCACTTGTTCACACTGGAATGCAGCATAATCACAGCTCATCACAGCCTCAACCTCTTTGGTTCAAGCGATCCTTCCACCTCAGCCTCCCAAGTAGCTGGGACTACAGAAATGTGCCACCACACTGGCTAATTTTTTGGTTTTTTTGTAGAGACAAGATCTCACTATGCTGCCCAAACTAAAGGGTCTTTTTCAAAAAAATTAATATCAGGACAAAAGGATAAGGATGTACATTATCTTTCAGTACAAGACATCTCACACAGTGTCTCCTTAGAGCCTAAGTGTAATCACCTAGGAAGAAGAGGAGTGACCCAAATGACACTGGGAAGTCATGATTAAACTGTGCTTCATAAAAGCACACATGTATTTTTGGGAGAAATTTCGGATTCCTTAAATCCCTACATGCTCTTGAAATTCTAGGACATACGTCTCATGATGAAACAAGCAACCTTAGTCAACCCACAAGCAGACTGAAGTCCCAACCACATTGGTTGTTAGGAAAAAATGTAATACACGTGACCAAATTCTATAGGCTGTTGGAAACATAACAGAAACCAAGCCTGTACGGGTGGAGGGAAGCATCTCAGAAGCCTCCTCGCTTACTGCTCATTAACAGGATGTTTCTCTCCAGTCTGCATAAATCACACTCATCCTTCCAGGCTCAGAGTGAACAGAACCTCCTCAGAGATGCTTTCTCCAGCCACCATGACCCACACACTCCCTACCTCTGACCCACCTAAACCTGGCCTCCCAGCTACAAAGTTCATCACACTCTTTCTACCATGTGATTGAACACCACGAAGAAAAAACAACTATGGATTTGTTTGTGCTGCTATTTGTTGAATGCAAGTATCCCCTATGCAACTATAACAACGTGATAAGGGTGAATCCATGTCTGTCTCCTCCATGGCTATACTCCCTGCATCTAGATCACAGTTAGTGCTCAGTAAGACACTGACTGAGGGAATGAGGCAACTCTAACCACTGCTCTCCTGACCTCCAACAACTACAGCTGAAACTGCAGATTTCTCTCTCTGCTACTCTGACCTGGGTCATCATCCCATGCCTGGTTTCCCAAGGATATGAC